CGTTTTTCACAACCCATGACTCATCAGCTACCACTGGGATTCCCCACTGACAGCTGAATGTAAACTAACAAAAATGCTGGCATTAAAAAATACTGCGGGGCTTTTCCCCCAATGCTTACCAGACCCTTTAGGTGAATGCAACGCTATAAATAAAAAAGGAAAAACCGTGGTCCCCCCTTCCCTCAAACCCAGACACTTATCCGAGCATGCAGCCTGGCAGAGCAGCAAATATGGTAAAACAGGAGAGTGCCGCCCCCCTCCCCCACTGAGGCCATATCCTAAACACTCACCTTAAAAAAAATGCCTCCATACTACAAAGGCATGGAAACAGAGGATAATATTTTTTGCTGCTACAGGCAGAAATAAAATGCTAAATGCTGCTGCTAGGAGCATTTTTTTAAGCTAGTGTATATGGAGCCTTCGTAAATCAACCCCATTGATTTTGTGCACACTTTCAGTTACAGTTTAAAAAACAGAGTATGCTTTACTACAGAGGGCAGTAGTGCCATTTGTTTGAATACTGTAACATTGTTTGAATATGTGACAAAGTCACACATTTTACAATAGATCCTAAAGGGAATTATGATACTTTTGGTGCTCAGCCTCTTATAGTTGTCCCCCTACTATTTAAACATCTTTCAGTATCTCTGTAGGTAAAGCTTACCTCTTATATCAGTATTTCTTATTTTCCACAGACAGTAACTTTCTTCTGGCCAATGCCCAAGTCCAACATGGCTACCCTATTGTCTACTGCTCCGACGGCTTCTGTGATCTCACAGGTTTTGGCCGCACCGAGGTCATGCAGAAGAACTGCAAGTGCCGATTCCTGTATGGGGTGGAGACCAGTGAGACCGTCTTGCAAGGCATTGAGAGAGCTCTGGAGGAGAAGCAGGAATACCAGGCTGAGGTGTGCTTCTACAAGAAAGATGGTGAGTCCATACACATGACCTTTACTTCTAGGTGCCATAAGGACATCTTTTTATTTCTCTAATTTTGTCAACGATTGTTAACTCTTTAATACCAGCTTGTTAAAACTGACAAAGATTTGTGAAGCTCATGTCTCTCTTTTTCAATGACAGGAGATCTCTTCTGGTGCCTGCTGGACATTGTGCCCATCAAAAATGAGAAAGGGGAGGTAGTGCTGTTTCTTTTCTCGTTTAAAGACACCACTGAGTATAGGATGAGAGCCCTGCATACTGATAAGAAAGATGGTGAGTACAGAAGCTGCTAGATCATTAACTTATGTCATGAGGAAACTGAAAGACAACGTGCAAAAACATGCCAGTTTGTCCATAACATCCAAATCATCATGCCATTGCCACTTTTAAAGTTTTTCTTATTAAACTTTCCTTGCTAAAAAACACATATATTGCAGCAGACCTCAGAACTTACTGTGTTTTCTGTGTGCCTTTCTTTTGAAGCTTGTTATTGCTTGGCATTCTGCCTTTTTCTTTAAAAGAGCAATCTCCTTATCTTTCTGTTTTTTTAGTGGCTACGTTCCTTGTAAGGTCCCATTATGCCCTACTGTAGCCACCCTTCCTTGTGCACTCCCAACTGGGACTAGAACAAATGCAGGCAGTCATTTGACCCTTGTACAATATACACTATATTGCCAAAAGTATTGTGACGCCTGCCTTTACACGCACATGAACTTTAATGGCATCCCAGTCTTATGCAGGCCATAGACGGGACGTTTATCGTCCGAATTGTCAGCCAATAAACGAAAAAATCGGTTGTTGCTGCCACCAATGCTTACGAAAAACGTCCGTTTTTCGTAGATTTTCCAGCATGACTGATAAAAAGAACTGAGAAGAACCACGAAAATCAGCTGACGACATTGCCCCACTAACGGTGTGAATATTGTCCAATTATTCATTCGGCCGACAATACGGCCTATAAACGTCCCGTCTATGGCCCGCATATGTCCGTAAGGTTCAATATTGAGTTGGCCCACCTTTTGCAGCTATGACAGCTTCAACTCTTCTGGCAAGGCTGTCCACAAGGTTTAGGAGTGTATCCATGGGAATGTTTACCTTTCTTCTAGAAGCGCATTTGTGAGGTCAGGCACTGATGTTGGCTCGCAGTCTCCGGTCTAATTCATCCCTAAGGTGTTCTATCGGGTTGAGGTCAGGACTCTGTGCAGAGCAGTCAAGTTCCTCCACCCCAGACTCGCTCATCCATGTCTTTATGGGCCTTGCTTTGTGCACTGGTGGGAAGTCATGTCGGAACAGGAAGGGTCCATCCCCAAACTGTTCCCACAAAGTTGGGAGCATGAAATTGTCCAAAATGTCTTGGTATACTGACGCGTTAAGGGTTCCTTTCACTGGAACTTAGGGGCCAAGCCAACCCCTGAAAAACAACCCCTCACTATAATCCCCCTCCACCAAACTTTACACTTGGCACAATGCAGTCAGGCAAGTACTGTTATCTTGGCAACCGCCAAACCCAGACACGTCCATTGGATTGGCAGACAGAGAAGCGTTATTCGTCACTCCAGAGAACACCTCTCCACTGCCCTAGAGTCCAGTGGTAGCGTGCTTTACACCACGGCATCCAACGCTTTGCATTGCACTTGGTGATGTAAGGCTTGGATGCAGCTGCTCGGCCATGGAAACCCATTCTATGAAGCTCTCTATGCACTGCTGTGCTAATCTGAAGGCTGCACGAAGTTTACAGGTCTTTAGCTATTGGCTCTGCAGACAGTTGGCGACTTCTGCACACTGTGCGCTTGAGCATGATCCCACTCTGTCATTTTACATGGCTTACCACTTTGTGGCTGAGTTGCTGTTGTTCCCAGTTGCTTCCACATTTTTTTATAATACCACTAACAGTTGACCGTGGAATATTTAGTAGCGAGGAAATTTCACGGATGGTCTTATTGACAGGTGGCAACCTACAACGGTACCACGCTTGAATTCACTGAGCTCCTGAGAGCCACCAATACTTTCACCAATGTTTGTAGAAGAAGTCTGCATGCCTAGGTCCTTGATTTTATACACCTGTGGCCATAGAGGTGATTGGAACACCTGAATCCAATGATTTGGAGGGGTGTCCCAATACTTTTAGCAATATAGTGTATACAATGCATACAAGGGACTAGATACAGACTGTTCTGGGCAACACTGAGCTAAAAGCAATGTGGAGTAAGTATTAGATGGTCCGTAAAGAGTCATTAAAGTGGAAATTTACCCATAACAGCTTGATAAAAAATATTCTCCTATAGCAAGGAACATACATTCCGTGTTAATATTTATGCTACCAAAATTTGTGTGTGCTGTAAATTGCCTCCAGCCTTGCTCTGTTTATTTCTTGCTGGAGGCTGCCATTGTTCTGAAGCCCAGAGCCCCTGAGCAGCAGTAAATCTTTAGGCTGTCAGTAGATTGCTCCCTATATTTTTGGCACAGTGGTAAAAAATAGAGATCAATTGAGAATGTGCAGAGCAGAGTGAGACGGCACATTACTGAATTTTAAACAGTATAGGCTCTTATTTTTAATTACTGTATTTTTTTTCTGCTATACCTGCAAAAGGGACCAGCCTGAAGTGATTTATCAGGACTTGATTTTCTGGCTATAGTTCCACATTTAATGTTTTAAGGAAGGTAGTGTGTCAACCACATTTGACAAATTGTATTGTGAAGGATGGCTTAACGTTTCTCATTAACCAGGTACCAGGCCATTTTTTGCCTAAACTGTGAAGCTTTAGGAATACTTTACTACCATGCTTTTGGCAGTGTTTGCCTAGCGGCTGTAAAAATGTAGATCAGGAGCTTAAAGTAGAAATTAGGGGAATTCCATGGGGACTCCCAGGTCATCAGAACTAGTGTCTTCATTGGAAAATGTTCTCTTTATTACTTTTCTGGGGACAACCCAAAATATGGGGTTTCTTTTACTTTCACTTTTGGTGATAGCAGTAAACAGGAGAAATAAAGAGGGTTAATCTCCCTAACAGGGGCACAGCAAGCAATAAAAACCTGACAGGTGTTCTAATCCTTCCCCAATCTCTTCAAAACTAAAAAAAAAAAAAAAAAAAAAAAAGTTTTGCCTTTGCTTATGCTTTAAAAAAAACCTGATTAATAAAACAGGTTCCATCTGGACTCCCTAAGTAGGTTCTAATTTTTGGCACTTAAAGTGTTACTACACCCACAACCATAAAATAAGTCTGTGTATGCAGTAAAGCATGCTTGTTATATTCACTGTGGAACCTAAGGGGTTAATCCTCTACATTGTGTAAAAATGTAGTTTGATCCTGACTTCTCTGATCCACCCCTTCTTCCCGTGTCCCCCTCTCATCTCCTGATAAGACATATCTTGTGGAGTCACTCTGCACATGCTTAGTTTGGTGTGTATTACTAGAGAGGTTTTTTTTTTTCTTGGGAGAGTGTATGTGATCAGCACAGAGCCATTCAGCACTGTCCAGACAGAGGGTCAGGGGTTCTGCATCCTCCTAGAACAAAATGAAAACTCTTCCTACAAGGTTTAACCAGTGCTCTGCTGAATACTGATAGAAGTCACAAGACGTCTCTAACTGTTGATGAGAAAAGGTATTTAGCTGTTTACATTTACTAAAATAATTGCAATTCCATGTTGTGTGTACTATGGGAGACCAGATATAGTGAATGCAGGATCCTGGGTTTACTAACACCTTAATCTAGAATGCCAGATTTAATGGATTTGAAGTGATGGTAATGGTAAGGGTGTACTTTTTGTCACATGACACATCTAACTTCCTTCATTTAGATAATGAGAATACTTACATCACACATATTTTTATGTGTCATTTGTTCAAGTATACCAGCTTTTTCCTGTAGACACTGTTTGATGATCTAATATTTATATGTTCAAATATGGTGATAGAGTACAGTTCCATAAGGTGTACTTACATTCTCACATGACAGTACAGTATTCAAGACTGAGTATGCCTCAAAATCTTCTTTTCTTACCAGATAAACAGAAGAACCGTCGTTCTGGATCTTCTCATTTCAGCTCAGCAAGAAGACAGAGCCGGACCATGCTGTGCCACCTTACTGGTCAAGTCTCTGGGCGAAACAAGAGCGACATTAAACTTAACAATGTAAGTGCTGATATAACACTCATAGAATCCTGGTTATTATAGTTGTAGTTTGATTGGAAGACTTCAGATTATAATTATTTAAACAATTTTATTTTAATCAGTTTTTATTTAAATGTAAAGAATACAGAAAAAAAAGAAATAAAAAAGGAACATAGTTTCAAAAAGAGAAAACAAGCATTGTATAACATACCATAAGAGTTCAAAAGTGCCAGGAATCCAAATGTAGGAAGACATCCAGCAAGCACTTAAACAAATGTATTATTAAGTCCGGGACAAGGTCAGCTAGCACCCAGGGCGAACATGTCAAATTGCCCCACCCACCAAGATGCATTATGTATTAGCAATAATCCCCTCCTCCCCCTAAAAAACTGAGCACCAATCTGCATGCTTACCTCCTAAGCATAAATTCCTCCTTTTCCCAGTACAAATGGAATCCCTCTACCAGCACCAAATCTTTGCCCAACCCATCCCCGCACCCATCAGACTGGGACTTTATAGGGTTTGCTTACCCGCCTCCTACCCACATTCTTTGCTGGGAGGGGATGGGGGCAGGTAAGCAAGCCCTGCACAGTCCCGATCCAGCACTGCAGTAGCAGGAGGAAGAAGTTAGAGGGGAGAGTGACCACAGCCTGCACCTCCTCCTGGCTCTGTCCTTGTCTCCAGATTTAGATTGTCTCATCCAGCACTAAGCTGACAGAACTAGTGATGCGGCTGTCACTACTTCCCACCTCACATGGTACCACAGTGCCCAGGGCAGTCGCCCCTGCTGCCCCTCCCTTGTCCGGCGTTGCTGACAACATTGTGTCTTCAACCTCCGGCATGGTTACATCATGCTATATTTGTATTTAGACAAACTTCAGCAGATATCATTAGTCCATGTCTCATGTATCTATCAATCATTACAGATAACCTTTCCCTATACATGTCTTCTTCTTTTTTATCTTGGAAAGTACCCCATTGGCCATAGTAAGCACTTTGGCTGGATCTGTGGGATGTACAGCCCCTGAAAGGATTAAATGGAATATAACTGAATCCATTTTGTATACACTAATACAAGATGCTAGTTTAACATATATATGAAATTTGTACACACTAACAAAACTGTCTATGCCAGCTTCATGTAGAAATGAGTGTTTTTGCAAACTTTACAAAAAAGCAGATAAGGTTTACTCTCATTTCTGAAAAGTTGTACCCACAACTTGGGCGTTGGGTCAGATTACAGCCATAGTCTGTATGGCATGATAGATAAAGCAGAAGAGTGAAAATGCAAACCTCATACAAATAATTGTTGAGTTAAGGTAAAAAAATGTACATGTACAAAATGTATTTGATTGGATGGTCTGAGGGTGTGTTTGCCCAAAGACTACAGTATAATAACCCTGATGTTATGCCAATAAAACTGAAGTGTTTGCAATCGCAACTGAGGTGACTTGAGTGCATTCACTTTCCGAGATCTCGTAGCTGTGTCCAGGTGTGACCGTTGGTATCTTGAGGGGGCCCCCAAGGAACAGGAAAAAGACCACCTACCTACTTTCAGGCCCTAAATACTTATATAAACTTAACAGCTCCATACCATAGCAAGGAGGTTTGGAAAGGTGGGCCATATCAGAGCTTGCATATAATAATGTATAGGCTATGCATCACGTAATGTAATAAAAGTAGTAACACTAACTGGGCTACACATCACTAAGTACAAAACTGTTTGGAATCTGTGCTGAATCTTGTAAAATAAGTTACTGTTTAATTAAATCGATACATTTGGATGTGAAAGTACAACGTATACTGGTTCTCTCAATAAACTATACTCTAGATCAGCAATGGGCAAACTACGGCCCGCGGGCCGTATACGGCCCGGCGGACCTTTTAATCCGGCCCGCGGAGCTAGGCTCCCGCAAGGCCAGTGGTCGGCAAGCCGCGGCTCTTTACAAATTTAGATGCGGCTCTCCTGTGTGCCGGGCGCCCGCTCCCCTCCCTCCTCTCCTCCTCTCCCCTCCCTCCTCTCCTCCTCTCTCCCTCCTCTCCTCTCGGATGGCCGCCCCCCCTCTCGGATGGCCGCCCCCCTCCCTCCTCTCGGACGTCAGGACTCTGCAGCTGTCAGGATGTAGGCGGGGCAGCCAGGATGTAGGCGGGGCAGCGTGACGAACTCCTCTCACAGTCCTCACTGAAGACCAGAACGGCGCGGGAATACGAGAGGAACGCGCGGACCAAAGGTAAGTGAATTGACACAGGGGGGGGACTTACTATATGGGGGATGAATTACTATATGGGGGACTTACTATATGGGGAATGAATTACTATATGGAGGACTTACTATATGGGGAATGAATTACTATATGGGGGACTTACTATATGGGGAATGAATTACTATATGGAGGACTTACTATATGGGGAATGAATTACTATATGGGGGACTTACTATATGGGGGATGAATTACTATATGGGGGACTTACTATATGGGGAATGAATTACTATATGGGGGACTTACTATATGGGGGATGAATTACTATATGGGGGATGAATTAATATGGGGGATGAATTAATATGGGGGATGAATTACTATGGGGGATGAATTACTATATGGGGGATGAATTACTATGGGGGATGAATTACTATAGGGGGGATGAATTACTATGGGGGACGAATTACTATATGGGGGACGAATTACTATATGGGGGACGAATTACTATATGGGGGATGAATTACTATATGGGGGATGAATTACTATATGGGGGATGAATTACTATGGGGGATGAATTACTATATGGGGGATGAATTACTATATGGGGGATTAATTACTATGGGGGATTAATTACTATGCTTACTATGGGGGAATATTACTATACTTACTATGGATGACACATACACATCATTCATCTACTCTTGGTCCGGCCCCCGGGTCCAATATATGAACCCATTGCGGCCCTCAAGTCAAAAAGTTTGCCCACCCCTGCTCTAGATGGTTATAGTGATTTAACTGAGAATTGATATTACAGTGTTCTGCGTTAGGGGATGCAAATAGTTAAAAGTGCTAATCCTTATATGTCCTATGAATGCCTTCTATAGCAAGAGTGAAGTTGGCACATTGTGCCAGGGAGATATAGAATTTTCATCTAACAGCTGTTGTATTACTGGCGCTTTGCTAAATAACCTTCGGCAGATCCTATCAGTCTCTCCATTAACCTCTGTGCTATAATCTGGTCCTGCCAGTCTGCTCTGATAAGGCTGCTCTGAGCGAGTACAGCAGAGAGACATTTGGTGCCTTTGTACCAGTAAGATGTATCTACTGCTGGAAAAAAATGAGACCTGGCCTAATCAGATTAGAGCAGAAAGTGTAACAGATAAGCAGGATTATGTTACTCAATGGGCCAGATCAAAGGAGCAATCTGATTGGCTGCAAGAGGAATCCAGATCATGCTGCGGTGATAGCAAAGTGACAGGCAGATGGCAAAGTGTAAAAGCCAGAACGTGTACTGTGGTAGAACAAAATCAACTAGAAGCACTCTGACCCATGTCAACTAAGTGGTGTGCTCCCAGGAAACCAATTACCCAATAAACAGCACTGACTGGCAAAGGATTTTCACAGCTCACAATGACTTGCAGCTTGGTTGGTGTCAATGATCTGTGGTTGTCTATATTCCTTATTAAAAACTATCAGTTCACATTCACCACTAAACCTAAAATGAAAAATTGACTTTACGTGTCAAATGATTTTATTCATAATGTTGTCTATACTGCTTGTTTTTGTTATATTTACATTTGCTGGAAAGTTTAGCATAGCCTGGTTTCCAGTGTTTTGTTGCTTTTAGGCTGAAGGATTCAGTCCATGGGATTGTTGAACCCTAGGAATGAGCTTCAGGTTAAGGTTAAACTTGATCTGGAAACAAACCAAATCATTCACAGTTCAGTAAAATATGCCAACCAATTGCCAATAATTCCCTTCCTTGCCATTGAACTGTGGTCTGGTGGCTTAGAAGGGCCAATAGTGTGTGTTTTGTTATGCGCCAACCCTCTCCCTATAAAAGTCAGGGTTCCCAGCCACCATTTTTCAGCATGTGCTGGAGACTTTGCAGTAGATATGGAGAGCTGCTAGAGTGTTTGCAGGGAGAGATACAGTTAGTATACAAAAGAATCATCCCCCTTCAAAATGATTACATGTTGTTGCTTTGCAGCCTGAAATGAAGACAGACACATTTTTTGTTTTACCCAGCTGTATTTACTCAGTGCAACTTATAACATCCACGTGGAAATATAATGCCAACATGAACAAAATTAAAAAAAATAAAAATTCAAAAACAGAATCACTGAGTTGGAAAAAGGATCACCCCCTTGTGCCAGTATTTTGTTGAACCACCTTAACTCCAGCCTTTAGTCTGTTGGTATATGTCTCTACTTTGCACATCTAGCCTTTGCAATATTTGCCCACTCTACTGTACACTATACACAGTGCAGGATTACAGAGAAATGCAGTGTGGTGGGATACATAGCCTGTAAGCCCTGTGTTCACTGTGGTATTTTGTGCTACATTACTATGAATTACAGTGTGCTACATATTATTGTGTACCCTTTCATTAGTGCATAGACTCAACCGTCTTTTCTAGGACTAACGTTTGTGGGTGTCAGCAACAACGTCAGTTTAGCTGCTAAGCCCCTGTTGCAGATTGTATTATTATTAGTTTATGTTTTCATATTGCTTGCTACTTTATTCTTTTAGTTAGGTCTAACAGAAAAAAAAATATAGCACCAAATAAATATATATAGCACCAAGGCACACACTCTTCATACCCCCTATTGCCATAGTGGATTATAGGGTAAGGCAATCACCTGTATTCAAAATGCCTGGCAAGCCTAAAGGTACAATCAGGTTCTACATGCTCAGCTAGTGGGATCAAGCAGATCCAGATAGTGGTAGAATTAATTCCTGTGCCTTTGATTATGACTGCTGAAAGATATTTTTCCAACCACAGCAGACAGGGCCAACTGCAGGCTGCAGTTAGAGGCA